TTACATACGTCACACTTGTATGGCTTTTCACCAGTGTGTGTCCTCACGTGCCTGACAAGGTGGCCTTTCTCAGTAAAACTCATATTACATACGTCACACTTGTATGGCTTTTCACCAGTGTGTGTCCTCACGTGAGCGACAAGATTGCCTTTTAAAGTAAAACGCATTGGACAGAGGTCACAGCTAAATGGCTTTTCACCAGTGTGGTACATCTTGTGCCTCTTCAGATGACTCGCCCTTGCAAAACTCTTCTCACAGACTTCGCATTTGAAGGCCCCTCCGGTGCACCCGCCTGAGTTCGCCTGCAGAGCGCCACTGGGACTGCTTTTACTTCCGCTCCCGCTGCCGGTGTACTTCCGGCCGAGCTGCTTCTTCCGCAGCACCCGCGACACCTTCTGGGCGTCCTGCTGTTTGTTCTGCACCGGCTGAGCGTCGCGGGTTCCACACCGGACGGTAGAGCCGCCCTGCCTGGTTGCGTCGCCGGGAGGAGGCGCCACTTCCTCGTCGCGCTGCTCGGGCTGCACCTCGCCGTCCCCAGGGCCTCCCCTCACGTCGTCCTCCACGGGGCACTGCTCGTCCTGCAGCGAGAAGCACGCCGTCACCACCAGCCCGAGCTGCTCGTCCTCTTGTTTGAGTTCGTCCAGCTCGGGGCCCTCGTCGACGGTTACATCTGCAGGATCCTCCCCGGGGAGAGCCCCGCTGCTGAGCGAGGAGCTGAGATCACCACCTGCAACAAGAGCACCGCGTCAGACACCTGCACCGCCAAGAACCAAGGGCCACTACCACATAACCGGCATGCACGAGCAAGGAACAAAATGGACGTGTCGTCGGGTTGTTCAAATCTGTGGAAGATGATTTTATTTTTATTTATATTACAGTTCAAAAACAAAAAATAATTACAAACTTTGCTGAAAAGCTGCTAAGTGCGGCTAAATGCAGGGATACAAAAATCAAGATTTAAAAAGAAGTAAAGTTATATAGAAATACAAACAGTTGTGTGTCTGTTGAAATTAAATTTAAACTAAGAGTCCTCTTTACGCACATCACATACATATAAGGTTTCTTGACATAGTGTGTCCTAATGTGATTGACAAGAGTTATTTTGTCAGTAAAACGTATTGGACAGAGGTCAAATCAAAAGCACCAGTTAAACAAACAAGGGTGAAGGTGAATCAAAAGTAGGTGTCGACAGCGTCAAGAAGACAATTCTATTCGTTTGACGAAGAACAACTAAAAACAAACATCCACAAACAAAATTTGAAACAGAAAATTAAGCTCTAAGTGCAAGTTCTTTTGTGACTTCTGAGGTTGGATTTATCACTAAAACGTTTATCACACCCACTACACTGATACGGCTTTTCGCCAGTGTGTAATCTCATGTGCGTCACAAGATGTACTTTCAACGTAAAACACTTTTTACATTCGTCACACTTGAATGGCTTTTCACCAGTGTGTGTCCTTATGTGCGCAACAAGATGACCTTTCTCAGTAAAACGCATTCTGCATACGTCACACTCGAATGGCTTTTCACCAGTGTGTGTCCTCACGTGAGCAACAAGATGGTGTTTCTGAGTAAAACGCATTGGACAGAGATCACAGCTAAATGGTTTTTCACCAGTGTGGTACATTCTATGTCTCTTTAAATGATAAACTCGTCCAAAACTCTTCTCGCAGACTTCGCATTTGAACGCTCCTCCGGTGCGTCCGCGCGAGTTCGTCTGCAAAGTGCCACTGGGATTGCTTTTACTTCCACTTCCGCTGCACTTCCGGGCGAGCTGATTCTTCCGCACCAACAGTGAGTCATTCTGGTTGTCCTGCTGTTGGTCCTGCACCGGCTGAGCGTCGCGGGTCGCGTCGCGGGTTCGAAACCGAACGGTAGGAGAATCCAGCCTGATGGTTGCGTCGCCGAGAGGAGACTCCACTACTTCGTCGCGGTGCTCGGGTAGCACCTCGCCGTCCCCAGGGCTGCCCCTCGCCGCGTCCTCCGCGGGGCACTGCTCGTCCTGCAGCCTGCTGAAGCACGCCGTCACCACGAGCCCCAGCTGATTGCCCTCTTCTTTCAGATTGTCCAGCTCGGGGCCCTTGTTGACGGTGACATCTCCAGGAACCTCCCCAGCGGACGCCCCACTAGAGACGCTGCGCTCGCCGCCTGCAACAAGAGCACCGCGTCAGACGCCGTCGTCGTCACGTGAGTTCTGCCCCACCACCAGGACCACCAGCATGCGCGTGCAATCCCAATGTCGTCCGCCGCGACGCATTGCGACGAGCAAGGGACGGTGCCCTTCTAGAGGGCTCAGCCGGAGCACTTCAATTCAGCGCGACACGGAGCCGTCCGGGCCACACTAGGTCCTGCTAACCCCGCCGGACCGTGGCAGCAGAGGAGCACGCCGTCACCGCCGGCTGCCCATCCTGCTTCAGCTCGACGCGGTGGCCGCCCCAGGATCCTCCCTGGCGGTCGTCCGCTGCGAGCGAGGAGGGGCATCGCCTGCAGCAGGAGCAGCGCGTCATCACAACCTGCAGCGGAAAGAGACATTAAGTCGAAGTCCACCGAACACCAAACCAAACAAGGGTAGAAGTGCAAATAAAGAGGAGCTGTCGGCCGGGACGAGAACATGGACCGCCACATAACCAGCGTGAACGAGCAAGAAACAAAATGAAAGGACCCTCGTGGGTTGTGAAATCCGCTAACCCTTGTTTTTATTCATATTACAATGATGAACAAAAAAAAAAAAGAAAACAATCACAATCCTTGAAAACACTAATAGGCTGATCTAGCTAAAGAGTCAAAATATTTAATACGAAATACATTCAGATTGAAATACAAATTGTTTTGTGTCTCTTGAGATTTGATAGTTGACTAAATGCCTTGCAACACACATCACATACATATGGCTTTTCACCAGTGTGTGTCCTCAGGTGCCTGGCAAGAGTGCCTTTTTCAGTAAAACACATTTTACATACGTCACACTTGTATGGTTTGTCCCCAGTATGTAATCTCATGTGCGTCACAAGATTATTGTTCTGAGTAAAACGCAAATCACAATTGCCACACATGTATGGCTTTTCACCAGTGTGTGTTGTCATGTGAGTAATAAGATTGCCTTTCTGAGTAAAACGCATTTTACACAGGTCACACTGATAGGGCTTTTCACCAGTGTGTGTCCTCACGTGGCTGACAAGATTGCATTTCTGAGTAAAACGCATTGAACAGAGGTCACAGCTGAATGGTTTTTCACCAGTGTGGTACATTTTGTGCGTCTCTAGATGACCCGCCCGCGTAAACCTCTTCCCGCAGACTTCGCATTTGAAGGCCCCACCGGTGCGCCCGCTCGAGTTCGAGTTCGCCTGCAGAGCGCCACTGGGATTGCTTTTACTTCCGCTCCCGCTGCCGGTGTACTTCCGGCCGAGCTGCTTCTTCCGCAGCATCCGCGAGGCCTTCTGGTCGTCCTGCTGTTGGTTCTGCACCGGCTGAGCGTCGCGGTTTCCATCCCGGACGGCACGCAGAACGGCCGAAGCGCCCAGTTTGGATGCGTCATCGCCGAGTGGAGATTCCACTTCATCTTCGACGGACTGCTCTGCCGCACAGTCCCCAGGGCCGCCCCTCGCACCGTCCTCCGCGGGGCACTGCTCGTCCTGCAGCGAGAAGCACGCCGTCACCACCAGCCCCAGCTGCTCGTCCTCTTGTTTCAGCTCGTCCAGCTCGGGGCCATCGTCGACGAACACCTCTCCAAGATCCTCCTCGAGGGACGCCCCGCTGGAGGAGCTGCATTCGCCGCCTGCAACAAGGGCACAGCGTCAGACACTGCCGCTGTCGTCATCAGAGGTCCACCCCATGCCCAGGATCACCAACATGCGCGAGCAACGTTGGCGTCGGAGTCACTCCTGCAACTTGGCCTGCAACAACCTAGCAGAATAAAGCGTCAAATAGGTTAAATTTCAACACCCTCCAGTTCTAAGCGAGTTTCGCACTGCCCGCCGCTTTTTACCAGTGTGTGTCTTTACGTGAGCGACAAGATTACATTTCTTAGTGAAACACATGTTGCATATGTCACACTTGAATGGCTTTTCACCAGTATGTGTCCTCATGTGAGTGACAAGAGTCCCTTTCTCAGTAAAACGCATTTTACTCGTGTCACATTTGTATGGCTTTTCACCAGTGTGTGTCCTCATGTGAGCGACAAGGCTGCTTTTCAAAGTAAAACGCATTGTACAGAGGTCACAGCTGAATGGTTTTTCACCAGTGTGGAACATTATATGCGTCTTTAGATGACTCGCCCACGAAAAACTCTTCTCATAGACTTCGCACTTGAAGGCCCCTCCGGTGCGCCCGCGCGAGTTCGCCTGCAGAGCGCTGCTGGGATTGCTTTCACTTCCGCTCCCGCTGCCGGTGTGCTTCCGGCCGAGTTGCTTCTTCCGCAGCACCCGCGATGCCTTCTGGTCGTCCTGCTGTTTATTCTGCACTGGCTGAGCGTCGCGGGTTCCACGCCGGACGGTAGAGGCACCCTGCCTGGTTGCGTCGCCGGGAGGAGGCGCCACTTCCTCGTCGCGCTGCTCGGGCTGCACCTCGCCGTCCCCAGGGCCGCCCCTCGCCGCCTC